CTGTCCAACTACGAATTCTCAAGTTCTTTGGGCACATCTCTAGAAAGGAAGATTCTATGGAGAGACTTGTCATTCAAGGCCGTGTAGAAGGCAAAAGACCTCGAGGTCGAGCCCCCACGCGCTGGATTGACCTCATCACCAGTACTACGAAAGCCACCGCAGTACAATGTGCTCGTATTGCTAACAGCCGCCTCCAATGGAGGAACATCGCAAGACGTGCGGCTGCCCTGGAAGCGAACAGCGACGACGAGACGCAATCCTGTCCATCGACAGCCACGACCACTCTGCCAAGAGTGTCCGATTAAGAAGAAGACCCACTAAAACCCCCTCGGTGGCCACCCCCTGTACGTTTGCAGGGTTTCCGGGATCTCCCACGGAACGCACCGGTGTGCCTCAGTTCTGTGTGTGAGCACGCCTCGGAGAAGGATAGACCTTCCTCGATTCCCTCACCATCTTGCAGCTGGTCGAGCTGCTGCCAATCCGTGGCCCCTTTTAGTCGCCTTTTACGACAAACAGACCTTAGTCCTATTCTATAAGCCCACGACTACAGGGCTGAACTCATGTATGGCCTTATCTTCACCGTTATGTCAACAAGGTCACGGAGACAGTGGCCAAGTTGATGCGCTGTAAATCAATTGAAAAGCATCAGGGCCTTTGAACAAAATTCGAATCCCCTGAATGGAAGATTGGCTTTATTGTACAGCATTTTGTCCTTAACTGCATAGCCTACTATGCTCGGAACATTTTATTCCCCTGCCAGGAAGGATGCTAGAATTATCATGTGCGTTTTTATGACATTTTTTTCATCTTAAATTTTCATGTGCTACGGTTCTAGGTTTTACATTAAATTTAGTGGCAATGTTAAGTTTAATATAGGTATATAGTGTCTGAACCGGGATTGTAGCTATGATGAATTTTATTTAAAAACGATAGACTTGATTTCAAGGCACATACATTGCAAATAGATTTTATAGCAAAATTATTCCGTCATACGTTGCTATGATAACTTATTCAATTGCCTTGATACGATATAATATACTTTACAGAGATCATTAAATACTTTATGCGATGTATAATAATTTAAAGCGTTCAAGGATGACTCAACAGCGCAGTTGCTAAGCTTTTGGCTTAGGAACTAGAGGTCGTGGCTTCGATTCCCAAGTATTTGTGTGACCCACGGATAATTATTACGGATCTGAAGAAGAAGAAGAAAAAAAAAACATTTATTCAGGGTCTAAAACAAATGAATACATACAAAACTTAAAAATAATAATGTAACTACACAGAAACTTAAAATAAATGTAAACATAACAAAAAAATCTGGGCGTTTTTGTTCACGTGAAATTTATGTATGTAAAACTTACAACACATTATTATGTATTGTAAGTTTTACATACATAGATTTGTTCTCCTACAGTAAGAACAATGTATTTTTAAAAAAAAACAAACAAAAATTTACCCATTGAGCTATCAAGTACTGTATAAAAGTATCAAAGAACCTACTTGTAACGATCCACTTGTAACATGATTCAAACTCAAATCTTCTAAGTTCGTTCGTTTCGCTTAGTTTCGATAAGAAACTTATTTGCTCAAGTGGCAAGTTTATTATAGACTTATTTAAACTAGCATATTATTGTATAGGCGGCAACAGATCTTTTTGTTGTTAAATTTGTAGGAAAACTATATAATCTCTCCTACTTCCATGGTTGACAGGTGTATCTAACAATGATAGGTCTACGCAGCAATCTTCGCTGCAGCACGAATGGGCAGGTCCGTCCGGGGGACCACGACCTCACAGAAGACCGGCGTGAAGTAGAACTGTTATACTTCTGCGTTTCTTGATGAGAGACGTAGCCGGGGCCTTAAATTAAAAGGTGGCAGCGATTCTGCAACAATACGGGTGTTGCAAATGTCCATGGGCGGCGCGTTGCCAACTTCGCACATAAAAATATACACATGATGTTTCTTATCATGAAAAATGTCATTACTATCAGGCGAATAGTTCGAATACTAACCTAAAGGTAAGTGGTGTGGTTGTGATTACTGCTAACCAGTGAACGCTAACAAAACATGGAGGCCGCACGTTCATACAAGTGATTGTTAGTAAATAGCACCACAATTCTCACTGACAGTTATCTGGCGCCGTCAAACAAAAATGAACTAATTTGTCAGTTCAACTAAGTCTATATCCCTAGAATAGCCTCGCAGTACGGTTTATAAGCCCCTCGCCGTCACGTTATAGTTTTTCGTTATGTCATTTTGATGCGACAATAATACTTTCAATATATAATATTATAATGCAATATAATATCTTATTCTTTAAACGAGCAATTCTTGTATATATATATATATATATATCTCGGAAACGGCTCCAACGATTTTCATGAAATTTAGTATGTGCGTAGATTCGGGGGCGAAAAATCGATCTAGCTAGGTTTCATTTTTTAGAAAATGTCCTTTTATCCCTGTTTTCAAGGTTTGAAAAATATCATTCGAATATGACGGTAAATTTCGCTGCAAAAAAATGTTATAATAGCTCAGTCGGTAATCGGGCGGCCCCAAAACAGACGGCCGCGGTTCGTATCACGATCATTTACACACTTATTTTTTTTTTTTTTTCACTTTTTTTTCGATTCCGGATCATTGCTTTCTTTATTTCCTATTTTTGTCGATCCAGATGATTTTGTTCTTTTTTTTCCCTTTTTTTTTTAAGTTCTTTCTTTTGTAAAAAACACCAGTTCATATTTTCTTATTATTACGTCGGTAAGATCGAAAAACATTATGCATATTTCATTACTCAGTAATTTGTATCTAAATGTAGTTTTCAAAACACACGATTTACCGAAAAAAAAAAACAAACCTTCTCCTCCTCCAGGTCCAGGTACCACTAAGTATGGTAAGGCCATTTACACACTTATTTTTGTTAATTTTTCTTCTACACCAGGTCATTTTCTTTATTTTTATTTTTTTGATTTACCGAAAAAAAAACCGAGCAAAACTCGGTCTACCCAAACTACCCAATCTAGCTTTGCAAAAATTCACCCCATGGCCAGTGAAAAAAAGTAGACCAGCTCTACGTAAGCCCGCCCGTGTAGCGTTACAATCCTCGACCACGAGCTTTCAGTATCTACATACTCAGAAGGTATTTGGATGAATCAAATTACGCGGCTGATAATTCCCATAGCTGCGAGGTTGGCCCTATTTCTCAAACTCCCTGAAAACGCATCACGCGCGAACGGGCTACGGAACAATCCGCGCGGATGAATAAAAAAATAAGCAATTAACGACATCGCTTTCTTCTCGCACCGAATGAATAATAGAATACCAATTAGTGAGGTGTCGACGGCGTTCCATCAATTCACTGCCATTCCACCATTCAACGTTCGAGTGAGGTGGATGAAAAGCGAGCCTACGCCGCAAAGGATCGGATGAAATTGCATGATTGTGGCGCAGTTGCCAAGGTATCGGGTTCGATTCCCACACGGGACAACTAGTTGTGTGATCCACAGATAATCACATCTAGGTGTTTGTCCACCTAAAATTTATGTTTATAAAACGTTCTTACAACATGGGATAATGTTATCCCGTATGGTAAGTCCATTATTAAAAAAAAAAAAAGAAAACTAAAACACGTACGTACTCGGTACCTCGGGTACAAAGAACTCGGGCGTAAGTACCCTTTTTTATGTGAGAAAGTCGCAAGCGAGATAGCGGTTCACCTGATGTTATGTGATAACCTCCGCCCATGGACATTTACAACACCCTTACGCCCGGTTTCTGAAACACTGATCGTTCTGATCATTAGAAGATAATTCTGGTCAATTCAGAGAGTTTAACCGTCCTTTTGGCAACTAAAATGAAATTAGAAAAGCCATTTGACGGCTGATTAGTTGACATCTACGATGATCGGTATTTCAGAAACCGGGCGTTAGTGTTGCTAATTCGTTGCCGTTTTAACAAAGTGGGCCCCGACTAAATAGCTCGATACACAGATGCATGAAACTTTCACTTCACGCCGGTCTTCTGTGAGTTCGTGACACTTTCGTGGGCCTGCCCATTCGTGCAACAGCCGAGGCTGTTATGTGACCCTACCGCAGTTAAGATCCAACCTATAAAGCTCCAAAAGCAAGTAGATAGAAGCTTGTCACCGTTTTCATGCTATTAGTGAGTATATGAGACACGTGGACAGTTTTATAAAAAGTGATTTATACAAAGCTAGTTAATTTAGAGAATTGCAGTATCGCCTAGCGATAGCCTTGAACTTATTCGCTCATAATAAAGAAGAAATTTGTTATCTGTACAGGTCACGTTTACGCATGCTATAAGTAGCGAATAAGGTCGATGAAAGCTTTTAAGCGTATTGTCTAAGCACACTTGCTTAGCGTTATAAGGTCATTCTTACCGCAGTTATTTGATAAACTCATTTAAGGTGCTATCTACGTTCACGCCTGCTGTAATTTTATTGATGAAAGAATGTTGAGGGCGTTACAATTATTTAGAAAGTAAATTTCGTTAATGCCAAATTGAGGCAGAAAATATAAAAAACAGACATCAATAACAATCAATCAATAAACAATCAAAATTAATAGAGTTTTGTAACAACGAAAGAAAATAAACAATAATAACATTGTTGCTGTAATTTCTCGTATTTACGCGATTACAATTATAAACTAATTAATAATTTAACAAACTGACGGTAGCCCGGGACAACTATGACATTCAGACATCCAACGCCTCAGTCTGTCCCGTGACCATGAACGCTGAAAAGGGTTCGAAACGTCGAGAATTAAAATTAAAAATGAACGTGATAAATCCGTGAAATTAGTTTCATTCATAATTGTTGCTGTAACTTATGATTTAAGTGCATTTAACGAATAACATCGTGAATCCTTTCTATTTGTTTCTCTCGACCATCCCTTTCTATTTCTCCAAGATTCTTCTATTTCTATAACACATCAAGGTCAAGAGTATTCAAATGAGAGGGCATGAAAACTTGATCAGGGCTGTTTATTATTGACAATTCCAAGCCAGGTGGAGGGGCAGGTGTCTTTGAAGGCGGGGCTGTAGTGCGCGAGGTGTATATCCAGAAGCTCTGACACTGGAAGCAGACGCGAGGCGAGAGCTTTCAGCATGTCGATGACGTCAGCGTCCACCATCCGAGGCCTGGTGGCGAGCACCTCCAGTGCGTTAGACCTTATCGCGAAGTTGATAGTGTTCCTTAGGTGGTACTGGAATGACGTTCAAATATTTCCAGACATGTTTTTACCCAATGTTATCTAGTCCTAAACTAAGCAAAGCCTGTACTATGGATACTGGATAGCTGATAAACATACTTAAACATACTTTTGTAAATACATATAGTATAGATATATAAAGACACAGACACTAGAATAACACTATGTTTGTGACACAATATTTTTCCAGTGGTGGGGTTCGAAACCACACCCTCTGCCCAAGAGTCAGGGTCACTATCCACTACGCCAATTGGGTTTATGTTCATAAAAGAGGCAGAAATGACTCGGTAGCGTAGTTGATAAGCTATGGGCTTCGACGTGGGCGGTCGTGGGTTCCACACGAGACTAGGATTTCTATCACCCACAGATGATTGTTCCGGATTTTGGTGATAATTTATCTTTCTTTCTTTCTTTCTTTATTCCTTGTTATTTATAAGAAGACAGTGGGGAAGGTGGCCTGGTCATAAAAACCTAAGCCTTCCACGACATTGCTCCGGCACAGCACCATTTAGTGAGAGTGGGTGACGTAGCACGCGAAAAGAAGACGACCATGAAAACCAAGTCTCCTACAGACCCCTGCCTCTCCACCGATTCGGGACTTCGGGCAGGGGATCCAGGGGATAAAGGTCTTTCCCCACGTTAAAAAGATAGAAAAGGCCAATCACAACATAATTCACGTGTTATGCCGACCCTGCCTAAATGGAATAAATAGACGGAGAAAGGAGAAGAAGTTGACATGCTATTACGACGCAAATCACGTGTTAAAGATTACAGTTCAAAAGCACCAGAGTTTTCACGACGTTTGCGAAAAGCAACACTTTTCGTCAATTCGCATTATCAGGATTATGGCTTCTCTATTTGGTACATAATATGATGGCTATTCATAGGTATTTTTGATGGTTTTGAAAAGTGAAAGAAGAGAGGTTTTATCATATGTTATTGTTACGATGGATAAGTTGACTAATTAAAAACGGTTACTGATAATGAATTTCATTTCTGTTTACTCTAAGTGAAAAACTTCTAACATCATATAGACATAAGTTTTGAGTCAGATGCGATTATCGATAATCAATCGATTATTTATATCAAAATCACTCTTGCCCTGAGTTAAGTTAACTGAATGCTTTGATGAGAGTGAGTTAAAGCTAGGGTTAACTCGGGTCTTAACTTTATTAGATAACTTGGATATTAATTCAATAATTACTCGAAAACCTTAAATCATTCCCATACTTTAACGTTCATCTATTAACTTATATCTATATTTAATGTATGTTATTTAAACTCTCTGTTCCACATAGTATTTAAATAGATATGTTATGAATATTGCACAATTATTTTTGTTGAAAAAATATTTACTTGAATGAGCAGAGAGACGGCAAAGTGAACTGGTTTTATTTGCAACTCCATAAGACGTTTCGCAAGCAGCTTTGGAGTCAGATCTTCGAAGTTGCCCAGATGCGACATAATCCTTGGTGCCTGATAAAAAAACAGTTTTATTCCCTGAGCTTTGCTAAAATGTTGTCAAAAGTAACCCATGCCTGTCTGTTACTTTTACGGAAGAAATGTTATGTATCTTATAGTATTAAGCAATGATTTTTTATAATATCGATAACGCTTGTCTATACTACGCGACATTCTAAAATTGTTCCGCTTTATATGACATATTTAAGTGAATGTGACAGATGATATAAAACGTATGATGTGGAAAGAGATAGCTGTCTATAGAACTGCAATTCATATCTACCCTGTATTTGTATAAAATATCATTGTTATTAACGATATCTCTGATAACATAACCAATATGAAAAAAATGCATTTTTAAATATTTGAACAACTCGTCGGATTTATTTATGTATAATATTGCTGTTGTATAATAAATATACAGTGGCGCAATATTATTGTTGCGATATAGGGAAGAACTCATATTAGCTAGGTAATATACATTTTATTCATTAGTTAATATTATTTTTGGTACGTAAGATTGAACGATATAAATAAAGTTCCCCAACCCCCACTATATTTATAGATGAATTTCTTTGTACGTTATAATTACTTTTCTGTCAGATTGAGAACGCATGAAAATAATTTCCATCTTTCCCTTCTAGCTTTCTGGAAAAAGTTAAAATCAAATTAAGTTACTGTTACCGATTAAGATACTCGGTTGTTTGCGACAGTTGTAAATGTACCAAAAAACTCCTTTGTGATTTAAACTTCATGGTCCTTCGTGACGGATATTTTCGTACTTCGGTAAAAACTTCCCCAGAAAGTTTTATTCGGTGACGATTAGTACAAAACTCAGTTCCATTCGAAGTGAGAACTTTATAGGACCGCGTTCATCAAGAAAAACTCTACTTAAAGCGTACCGTGAACATGACGTCATAGAGACGTGCGCACGCGTGGAACACTTGCGCGTCCGCCATTTTGTCGTGCGTGTCGCGATTTTCAGCGCCAGTGTAGTACCGGTGCGCCGTGTCTACGCGGCTCGCCGAACTTACATTCCGCGGCAGGTCCTATTATTAACAAATTCAGATTAAAATATCTTTAACACAAAAGTTAAAAGTAAAAGCCTATACAAATCCCACTGCTGAGCAAAGTTCTCTTTCACATGGTCCACCACGCGGCCGCACTGCTGATTGGCGGACTTTATATAATGTATCTTCGAAATATTTCGAAAATATTATTTTTTCGAAAATATGCTTTTTTCCTTACGATGTTTTCCTTCATCGCTAAACGCGTCTGCATTTAAAATTAATAATTTCATTAATGCCGGCACCGGAAAGAGAACTCAACTTGCGGCTGCCCGCAACTGCGTTTGCGTAGAATAAGCTGAAGGCGTAACATGTGGACAGAAAGACAGATATACATAAAAATATGTATATAAATTATAGCCTATGTGTTATTCTGATGTATAAGCTATATTATTGTAAAGTTTCATTAAAATCCATTCAGTAGTATTTGCGTGAAAGAGTAATAAACATCCATCCATACATACAATCTTTCGCCTTTATAATATTAGTAAGGATAGTAAGGATTAACAACGAGCGTCCGAACACTAACTATCAAGACCTCAATATAAGTAGACATTACACTCGCTTATTCATCAAAATACAACTACCGGTTCCGAAAACCGGCGGAAGAAAGCGGAACAACTTTTTTTAACACTTATTAGACAAAAATATGTTTAATATATATTTTTTTAAAACACTTGGAGACGGTCAAAATTTCCTGAGTTTGTGTATTGTCATTAATAATCACCATTATAATAACCCTTAAATAACACAAACACATTTCTTTACATTTTTTTCGAATTTAGCAACTGATACATTTTGAACGTTTTCTGGGATTTTGTTATATTATTTTGTGTCCTAGGCAATGATATACTCGTACCATCAACATTTAACTGCGACGCGTCTCTAAAAATATGCATATGACCTTCATCTATGCTCATATTATATATTCAATTATAATATACAATTTGTTCGTTTCCATAAAAAATAGTATTTTACTGACTTCCGTTGACGTTGCTGGTTGCCACGTGCCGTTTCCGGTCACCGTAAATTATTTCTCGTTAATTATCGTCTCCGTTTGGCGCAGTCCTTCGGCCCCGCGGCGATTAATTAAGAAATCGAGAGCGACGGCCCGACGGGCGGGGTTGCAATCATTGAAAAAAATTAAAAAAAAACCAAAACGAAACGAACCTTCGCGATATCGATCAGTTTCATTATGAGCGCGGAGTAGACGCGACGGCTTATGGCGTCCGTGCGTCGTGCCCTGTAGTTGTCGACCTCCCTGCGATACAGAAAAAGAAGCTATACGTGATACATATTAAAATACTAGCTGTTAGCCCCGGCTTCGCCCACGCGGCCTAAGGGAATTAACAATGAGTTTTTTATAATACACCGGAGTATCTGGCAGATGGCAAAAATTTTTTCTACTTAGTTGACACGTATCACACAATATAGCTATAAATTATAGCCTATGTGTTATTCTGAAGTATAAGCTATATTATTGTAAAGTTTCATTCAAATCTGTTCAGTAGTTTTTGCGTGAAAGAGAAACAAACATCCATCCATACATAAAACTTTCGCGTTTATAATATTAAGTGAAGATTACTAAAGATTAAAATATGATGACAAGGGTGGATTTTAATCCAATGACAAATGATTTTATTGGTTCTTTAGTAATAATCACTGTCCAATGTCTGTCACTGTCAATGAATGTCCAAAAATCTGTCAGCTTGATTACGCGAAAGAAAAATAAAATATAAAATAGTGTATAACAGTCAGACGTAACTTTTTTTCTTTTTTTTTTTATGCGAAAAGTTGTCAAACGAGCAGACGGTTCACCTGATGTTAAGTGAATACCGCCGCCCATGGACATCTGCTACACTCGAAGGTTACAGATGCGTTGACAACCTTTTGAAAATTGGGCTCCGGCTACCTCACCACCAGACGAAACGCGAAAGTATTTGTCATACTTCCACTTTACGCCGGTCTTCTGTGAGGTCGTGGTACTTACCCGGACGGGCCTGCCCATTCGTGCAACAGCCGAGGCTGCTGCGTGGCCCTACCACCGTAACTAGACTAGACAGTCTTGTCATCGATAATTGATTGACTGAATGAACTCAGCCTTTTTCATTTTAAATCCCAGCAGATACTAGTATATAATAATAGTAGAACTAATATTCCACTTTTCTTTCAAATTCTGAACTTGTGCAAGTCGTAATATCACGTAATAGACCCCTACGATTGACCCCACCATGTAACCACATGTATAGTTTTCGGGACTAATTAAAATGAAATAGGATACTCAATATTCTGTTAGGCTTCTTTGAGCTGATGTTAGTTAATATGCAAGTCTTCGAATAGACGACTCGATGGCGTAGTGGGTAGTGTACCTGCCTCCTGCCTAGAGGGTGTGGGCTATATATATATATATATATATATATATATATATATATAACATGACATAACATGTATTTATTTAAAAAAGAAAAGTATGTTTAAGTATTTTTATAAGTTTTCTAGTACCCATAGTACAAGCTTTGCTTAGTTTGAGACTGGAAAATGTTGTGTAAAAATGTGCCCTAAAAATATAAATATTTAGGTGTACGCACCTTTTCACTATGTATTTGATTATGAGGGACATTGTGCGGTTGAGGTACACCTGGTTCTCCTTCTTCAGGTCGAAAAGCAGTTCCTGGTCGAAGTGAGAGTCTTGCAAAGCTTCCACTATAGCCTTGGAGAGGCGTCGATATTCTTCGAAATACGACTGTAACAAACAGCTAACCTGAACTATGTAGTATTAAAATTTGTCAAGACAAGACAATTACCAACAAACAGCGGGAATCAAACCTGAACGTGGGTTATTCCCGTACTTTTTTAAAATTTTTGTCATTAGCATTAAAATTTCATATATTGATAATTCATATTATGTATGATATTCGTGCTGCCCGCACATGATTGTATTGTAATTCAAACAAAAACTGTGGCTGTTACAAATACGGCGGAGAATTGCAATAAAGTAGGTGGAGATATATTATAAAATATATCTCTACCTACTTTATAAGTACATCTATTTGTGTCCCACAGATAATTGTTTCGTAAACGTAAAACGTACTAAAATCCTTTTTAAAACTGTGAGGGCAATTAAAAAAAAAAGAAAAAATATGAAGAAAATATGAGAATAAACATAATAAATGAAGTTTGCGAATAGGTCGCAAGATTTAACTGATATAGAGATAAGCATAAGAAATATATATTTAGTAAAAGTCACAAAAAATGAGCTAACAACTTCTATTTAATTAATTGGGCGTACTGACGATGGTCTTTAATTGACATCCATTTCATTGACACACTGTATTAATACTTAAATTAATATGTGTTACTGCAAAGGTCACCATTAAAATACGTTTATATATAATAGTCAAATTGAGTTATGTAAAATGTGAGTAGGTCGAGGGTGGACTAAATCATTAATTAAATCGTAACCACCATTGAATATATATATTGGACGTGGTCCACATGTGTCGAGCGTAACGTCTTCGAAAATCACACTTAAAGCGCAGCAAGGCAATAAAGTTTAATTAATTACAAGTGATATTCTCCCGTTCCAAGTGTCCGTTCATTCACTCATTCACCCGCCCGCTTAATTACATCATTCAATTCTCTAAGAACAAAGGCCTGAGAGCGTTAATGCTATTTCTATCTGGGTCGCTTATTACTGTGATCGTTTCATTTCACGTAACCTTTATCATTCTCGCTTTTTTATTCGACGTCCGTAATCGAGGTAAGATTAAAGGTTAAGAGAATTTCTTAGGTGTTTTTCTTTAGAAATTTAAAAGCTGTTCTTGGCTACCGACTGTGACTACACAACTGTTATATACCTTACTACCATCATGTTGGACGATAACGTTATTATTAATCAATCAATCAAAAATCTTTATTCAAATAGACGCTTGCGCGTTTTTATGAATCGTCAAATTTTACATAAAAAGTTATACATAGAGATTCGTAAGGTACCACCGTATAACTTGTAAACGTGACGAGTCAGCGAAAGCAAAATTCACGCTTGTATATGCATCGAATTTAGCAATAGAATTTTGCGCCCGTCTCAATGATAAGTGTAGTTTTGTCGGGTCAATTTGAGGGACGGAAGTAGAAGGAAACATTATTTTAACCATAGAAGTTGCGAAGCGAGCTAGATATACCTCATGTTAAGTGATTATCGCCGCCTATGGACATTTGCAACACCCGTAGGGTTGTAGATGTGTACCTTACAATAAAGTGGGCCCGGGCTACCTCACTCACCAGACGAAACGAAGAAGTATAACTCTTCCACTTTACGCCGCTCATCTGTGAGGTCGTGGTACTTACCCGGACGGACCTGCCCATTCGTGCAACAGCGAAGACTATTGCGTGGCCCTACCACAGTTAAGCCTGCCACGTGTCTACAACATTGTGGGGCATATTCGTATAACGTCGGACATGAATATATTGTTTATCGTGCATTCGATTGCTACAGATGGAATATCAGGCCTCAGAGGCGCAGGGAAGCTGAAAGTAACACGTAAAATATTAAAACCGGCCAAGTTCGAGTCGGACTCACGCACGAAGGGTACCATCCTTACTAATATTATAAACGCGAAAATTTGTATGTATGGATGGATGTTTGTTACTCTTTCACGCAAATACTACTGAATGGATTTCAATGAAACTTTACAACAATATAGCTTATACATCAGAATAACACATAAGCTATAATTTATATACATATTTTATGTATATCCGTCTTCCTGTCAGACTGTTATGCCTTCAGCCTATTCTACGCAGACGTAGTCGCGGGCAGCAGCTAGTTATCTAAAAAACCGAGGAAAAAATTATGTCTTTTGTATGGGATCCCAACTTAAAAATTTTTATTTTGTTTTCCAGTATTTGTTGTTTTAGTGGTACCAGACATACATCATGTGTGAAAATTTCAACTATTTAACTATCACGGTTCATTAGATAGATTTCTCGCACGTGGTGTTGCAGTCGAATGCATTTTAAAGACGCCTCTGAGTATTCGGTTCTCCATTCTGCCAATACTGAAGACGTACCAACAAGGGACATGATTCCATCGTGTTTATATATACAGGGAGGTTTTTCTAAGTTATTAATTTTTTTATTAAATTCTAAACATAAATAATGTTATATAAAAATGATAAATATTTAAAATCACTCGTAATTCATTAAATACATTCATTTGGACTTATCTCAGAAAGTGCGTGGTTTATTTGCAACTTATTTATTTTAGGCGCTGTCATTCATAACTAACACGCACACAAGTTCGTTTCAAAAGTATAGACGCATTTATGAGTTACTACCGCATTGTCAACAAGTTCTGTTTTTTAGGGAATTTAAAGAAAAATGTTTTTATTTCAATGAACAATTATACTACCGAGTCTGAACCTCCTGTGTGAATTTGGCCACCTTTAGAAGAGCCACCCTGTATATCTATTGTGGAATCAACAGCATTTATAATACGAATTTGTATCATCGCATGCATGTGATAATACAAATTTTCTTCCGATCTAGTTGACCATTTTTCTCAGTACCTGGTGACGAGTCTCAGCATATATTGCGTTGAGATTAATAAGTTAGATGTAACGTGGACAGCGCACTATTGTTACACAGTTTACAGCATTAAAGTGTGTGTGTGCTCGTGCATATTTGTGTAATTTTTTTCCCTTTGTATGTGTACAATACACACAATTATAATACAGACAATTGGAAAAAATTACAAAAAAACATGGGCGAGCTTAACCCTAAAAAGAGCAGACCCTTGAAAACACGAAGCCATAGTACTTTTAAGGGTGAAGGTGTGTACATTATTAGAGATTTCACCAGAGTAATTATAAAAATATACAAGACCTAAAAGCTTAATGCGAGACCTAAACACTTTATATAATTTTTCTTTTTATTTAATCTGCAAATGTTACGCACAACTTTTTAAAACTTAAAAGGTTTTTGATGTTTGGCTCACGGATCTAGTTTTGAGCAGGACAGTAAAAGATAGAACAGCTATCGAAAGTTTGTAGAGTTACATAAGAGCACACACCAGTTGGAGAATTGATTTGAACGAGCGAAGATTTTCAACTAAAACATAAATGCGTTTTCGTTATAATTTCTTCGCTACCTAGTAATTATGTATATTGATTTCTACTTATGATACCTCCCTTCATTGTACTCCGATCTTTATAGTTTGAAGGATAAAATCAATGTGTGATTTAGGGTTCCGTACCCAAGGGTAAAACGGGATCCTATTACTAAGAATCCGCTGTCTGCCTGTCTGTTATTCTGTTTTTCTGTCTGTCCGTCTGTCACCAGGCTGTCCCATGAACCACGATAGTTAGACAGTTGAAACTTTCACAAATGGTGTGTTTCTGTTGCCGCCTTAACAAAAAATAACAGAATAAAACATATCTTAGTGGGGTTGCCATACAACACCAGAGATTTTTTTGCCGTTTTTGTACATAATGGTAAGGAACCCTTCGTGCGCGAGTACGACTCGCACTTTCCTAGTTTTCACTGTTACACTTTTTTTCGGTCTAGCCCCTGAACCCGCAAACAAATACAAATAGATAAGAAACTCCTTTCCAATACCGGTTAGCTTTAAATAAATCACTAATTAAACATAAATTAAAACTAAATTAATTCATTGTAAAATCAATTAATAGCATACTCACCTCAGGTAAGGTTTCAGCGCCAAACATCGCAATTAAAAAAACGCAGCACAGAGTTGTCAGTGCGAAAGGTGACATTTTTAAATTCAATCCTATCTTCCTTTCATTCAGAACATTTCATTTCATAATTTTATTAAAGGTTTCCGTTGTAAAAAAAATACAAACACAAAGTATACGGATTTTATCGCATTAAACTTTTCCTTCTTAATACTGTAATTTAGAAAGATTTTTGAATTGAAAATCTCTAACGTAGAAATTCTTCTTATCTAACGGTGAATTTCGACAACTTTAAGCTACCATCAATTATACTAATAATTACTCATCTCCATTTGCAGGTCATGTTACAGTTAAAATTAAATCAGATCCGGAAAAACTGTTATCACTATAACATAAGTTATACATAAACTTTTAAGTGTCAATTGAAATTTTGGTGTGGAAATTGTTCAAATTTATATCGAAACAATATACTGTGAAACAAAGTATTTATTAAAATTGGGTTATTCTGCGAAACAATAAAAATAAGAGAAAAATGTTTTTAGATGAAAAATTTAGCATTAATTGACGGATGTGAACAAGTGAACTCGTCATAGTTAATGTTCTTTACGTGACTTTACTACCCCTCCCCGCCAATATATGGTCAATCCTATCGGGATACGTTCAGTTTATTATAATGCATATTCGTATTTGTGAACAAACGACCAAACGGATGCCAAGAATGACATTAGACAGGCTTTTGAAAATGTAGCATTAAAATTTAAGCGGTTGATTTGCCTATTGGCTTGCAGAATGCCCCGGCTGCAAATTGCCGCGCAATAAAATTGGAACGTTGCGACACTATGCGACGTTTTATCGGTTCACACTGAATAATGACCGCCGCATTGAAATAGGGTAATACATGTAATAACAACTACTCGATGCCAGCCTCTCGCCTCTTTAGTCTACACTTCGTAGAGTGTGCAAAGTTTTTTTTTAATGTGGGAAGGTGGCAAGATAACTAGTGATCCACCTGATCTTAATTGATAACCGCCGCCCATGCTCATTCGCAACACACGCATGGTTGCAGAAGCTTTGCCACCTACAGCCACCGGCCCCTCACTATCTCACCAGGCGAAACGCGGAAGTATAACACTTCCACTTCACGTCGGTCTTCTGCGAGGGAGCCAGTAGCCTTAATTTATATCATTTTAAGCAAATGACGCTCGCTCGTCTACTTCAAGACTGAGCGTACGTTGCCTAATTTTTAAAGAAAAGATTGAAGACCCCCTCTTGAGTAAACTGTGAAGTCCCATAAACGTGGACACAATTTCAGACTGCGGACAACTTTTTGCGTGATACACAAATCACAGATTTAATCCTCAGACAAACGGCGTGGATGAAATACACAGCAGGAGCATTCTTTGCTGTTTCACCAATGGGCACGTCGCGAAAGGACCCTGGCAAGTTAACACTTGACTCCTTGCGGCAGACATGGGGGTGTCAGCCAAGTTGAAAAAAGGCAAGGAGACCCTTCAAATTATTACGCCAACGGTAGATGAGACGCTTAAATGGTCCAACGTTGGCTGTTGATATTTCAACATCTCCACTGTTCCCAATGTTCATGGATGACGATCTATATTTACCATCGTAAAACGTTAACATACTCAACGTTGTTGGTGTGCCGAAATAAATAAATAAAACTGCCCCCGACACGAAGGCGAAATTCTTCAACGTTTCCGTCCGGAAACCTATCCCCGCCGGCGATCTCGCGTCGCGGTCGAAACGGATTTCAATTTCCGAACGGAGTTTTCGCGCCTCGCGAACTTTCAAACATCGAACTCCGCTTCCCGCAAAACGGGCCGAGGGCGAGAACTATTTACGTTTCGATTTTTAAATTTAAATAGTTTATCGATCTTGTCGCGTTTCGTTCTATTTTTAGATTCCCGTTGCTCAGCCGCTTTGAAATTAAGAAACTTTTGGTCGAAATTCTACTATTACTATTTTTAATGGAGCTGTGATGGAAGTTTACACTGGTACCAGTTGAGACAATTGTCAAAGTTCGCTTGGAACGATAACAGATGTCATAGGTTTGACAGTCGACGGCAGTATGTTTAGTCAGTTCGAACCTAATGTATGAAAATTGAAAAGTGGAGCGAAAAGTCAATTTTTGATTAAACGCCCACATTCACAATGTTTTACTTTAGAGTATGTGGGATTTTTAAATAACGCCTATCAATACGACATGTATTTGTCTTTTACCGACACTTTTACATGCGCTTTTTAAATTTTTCCATCTATCTGTCAGTTTGTCTGTTTGCCTAGCCATCTGTCTGTCTATCTATCTTCTTGTTTATCCTGGCTTATTTACGGAACGGCTAAACAAGTTTTGATGGGATTTTTATTGATTCGAGAACTTTTTATAGTCAGTCGACAAAGAAGAAGCATTGAAAGGAATCTGTTAATATACCATTGAGAAATTTATTCAACTTATTCGAATATTGATTTCAATTGTCAATAGCAAAGACGAAATTCATAAAATATTGCATTTACTTGCTTATTTATAAGAATATATTACATCAAAAACTTGTAATAGCAACAAGCAACGCCAACTTGGATGGAAGCAGTTTTTTTCGGTTATCGGACAAAATTAGTAGATATGTAATATATGCGTATACAAAATATAAGCGTAATGATTATTAATGATAATAATATTGAAAGAAAAAAATTAATAAAAAAAAAACAAAAATGACAGTACGGGCCTACATTAAACAAAGGAAGTGCTAGAAATCTGAAAAAGGAACAAAAAAAACCAGTCAAGTGCGAGTCGAACACGTACGCCGAGGGTTCTGTAAAAGTAAAAAAAGTAACAGCTATAAAAGTCCCACCGCTGGGCAAAGGCCTCCTCCGTACAGAGGGTATCAGGTCATTGTCCACCACGCGGCCCCACTGCGGATTGGCGGACTTCACATATTTTCGAAATATATTTTTTTGTTATTATTTCGAAAATATGCCGGTTTCCTCACGATGTTTTCCTTCACCGCCGAACACGTGATAAGTCAGCACTTAAAACTAACAATTTCATTGGTGCTGACACCGGGGATCGAGCTTGGTTGATTGTGTAAATTGAATTGCGAGTGCCCGGACACTGATCTATCACGGCTCTGTCCTAGGCTTCCATACCTACATTATACTGCCATTATAAAATTGGTAAATATTATCACCACTAATTTTCTCCCGAACGGGTAGAACTAGCAAGTTGACATTTATACCAGATACTGAGGTCTAAAAACGTGCTCTGGGTTTAAGGAAAACATCATGTATATTTTCAAAATAGCTACAAAAATGTTTCGAAGATGTGTGAAATCCGCAATGGTGCCGCGTAGTAGACTATGCTCCTAATACCCTGTGTTCAGCGGAGGCCTTTGCCCATCAGTGGAATAAAAGGATATAGGCTGTTACTTCACTTTACTATAATCATAAATTAAATACGCCATTTTGAGTACACATGTAACTATTCGGCGAATATCAATGTTACTAAGACAACATTCGTAGGGGCCGTAAACTAAAACGGTGTTCTGTCAGCCGGCTTTATTAGCCGCCATTTTATTTTTTGTATCCATTTTACGAGCCACGCTCTCTCACGTTCCGTTTTACGGACTGCGTCTAACGCCGTGCGACGCCGCCGCATAAAATATTTTATCTGTGGCATATTTTTTTATGCGCCCTATTTACACTGATTAACTCCATTTGTTTCGCGTTTCGGCAGGAAGCGATATTATTATTTACAGCCTCGAATTATTTTAAGTTACTTCGTGTAAATCTGATTTTTGGTGAAACGCAGAAGTGATTTGAAGTTCAATTTGTATGGATTTTGAAAATTACGCACGCTGAAAGATTTTGCAATAGAATTAGGGCGTTCTTTATTAATACATGACTTAAGTTCCGTGTTGTGTTGATTTTCTTCTTTAATTTTAAGTACCTTGAAGCGGTACAAAAAATTGTATGAATGAATATGTTATTCTTCCTATTCTCAATCTCATTCTCAAAAACGGTTAGAAGAATAAAGAGGGTATTTAAGTCGTCTATGATATACCTAGTAGCTTAATTATCGGAAAGAAGAAAACTAGACAGACCAAAGGTAATGTATGAAAGTTTTAGGAATGAAGAGATGATAGATTATTTATTTGAAGCGACAGAAATTATAAGTTATTGGTGTTATTTAAATTGGCCATCTCAAATAGCGTTAAAATGCCCCAGTCTATTAAGAAATGAACTAGATATATGTCCTTCCCACCCAAGAGTGTTGTTTTTTCTTAGATACTGTTATATACTATAAACGGCAGAATCCTTTTAGGCCACTGAAGGTGAATATTCACAGAACGAGAAAAACGAAAAATGTCCAACAATTGCAAGAATATTTCTGGAACTTTTACAACGCACGCCTACTACACCTTTCTCTTATATACTTTTTGGAGTTTATCGCAATATGCTTTTATGCTGCACTACGCTATGAACAATGTGTTGAAGAAAATGGTGACAAAAAATATACGTCACGTACTATACTACATTGTACGCTTGGGACGAGTTTCTCTGTTAGTATGATTTCATGTGTAATGAAATATATATATTTTGTTATAAGTAGCATTGAGATATCCGTATGAAACATTGAAACATTTTGAAACGTCTCTTATCGTTTGGTTTTGGGAGTGAAGTTCTGGTTAAAAGCATACTTTCTGACATTCAGGATACTAAAGAATGAAATTACTCAACAAAAATGTAATCAACTTAATGTCTTTAAAAATTTAACAATATTTAATTAGCAGCATTTTGAAACTCTTGATTTTTGCTTCTCTAATTCCATCCGATACGACGTAGATATTTTAAAACCAATTTATGTCTCTCTCATGTTTACTTTAATTTATTAGATTTAAATATCGATTCAATTTATATCTGATGAACAGAACCTAACAGCGCCTTAGTAGACATAAGAAAATGCAACCTTTTTCGCAAAAGACGTCACTGAATCAAAATCCGTAATCAGAAGATTATCAATAATAAAAAATATAACATCAGAAGAAACACAAATCCAATCGCCGTAAATCGTCAAAGAAATTCCATCGTGGGTGTGCTTTCCGTGTAGATTTGTTAACATTATCCTGTCTGCAGTTGTTCTAGGCGGCCGTTAGATGGCGCCGCCCTCCGGCGCGGCCTGACTAGGCGCTAAGTGCCAGTCGCTCGCCGACCACCCGATGGGAAAGACGTCCGGAGGTCGCCCTGACGCCGGAGTCCGTGCACTTAGAATCAATAATCGCAGGTAGTCGCATGAGAGAAGAGATTCATCTAACACTAACCACGAACTAATTAAGACAGCAACGCTCGATCGGGCATGAAAATTTATCGTTTCGTTTGCTTACCAGTTGCTTCATTTTAATTTTGCCACGTTTCGTAGACGTGCAAGGCAAGTAATTTATAATAAGAAAATTAACTCACGCTTCTTATTATATTACGCACGAAAAATAAGTAATGTCGAAAGCAGAAGAAATCTAATCAAAAAAACGATAATTCACAATGTAATTCAGCAAGGGAATGAAACTATTGGTAGTAACAATTAAGGTATATTTAAATAACTAATTATTTATTTGTTATTTGAATATATTGTACTCGTAATTGATCCATGTATATCATGTACCATGAAAGATTACATGTAATTCTTCTTTAAGAGCTAACACTTCCTGTAACAAGATGATTATAAAAAGGCAAAGGCTTTTATTTCTAATAAAAGAAACAAACCTTTAATCAAATAATCGTATGTAAAACTAACAAATCACTAATCCCAAAAAATTTTTTTACTATTGTCGAGATTTAAATCTATCAACGCCTTCAACGCCTCCTATGTGAATTCATAAATGTTAGCGTTTGGAATTCAATAACGCAGGAGCATCTTGAAGAAGAAAAACCGGAAGTGACGTAAGAATGAAATCCATGAGAATATTTTTCCGAACTCCATTAGGCGTTCACAATTCAAATTTGTTGTTTTTAGAATTGGGAATGCACGAGTGAAGTCAATAGTTCCCGAACAAATTGATATCGATAGCCTCTGCGTAAGAGCCGGAAGCTGCGTGTAAACAGACGGAAACGCATCATTTCAAATAGATTTCCCGCTATTGATTCTCTTGGTATAATTTCAAAATACCATCCTTATTAATGAAACTAATTCGAGCACAGTAAAATAATGACTGTTAATATTTAATAATTGTGTTACATTAAACACTTGTTAAAAATTATATAATGATGTAATCAATAGAAATATATATATAAACTAGCTGCTGCCCGCAACTACGTCGGCGTAGAGGGGGTGAAAATTTAGGGTTGTATGTATTTTTGTAGGCTGTATCATAAAAAATTAAAAACAAAAAATCTTATATAAAAATAAAAAATAAAAAATTTTTGGGGTGGACCACCCTTAACATTTAGGGGGATGAAAAAATAGATGTTGTCCGATTCTCTACCCTGGCCGATATGCACACAAAATTTCACGAAAATCAGTGGAGCTTTTTCGGAGGAGTTCAATTACAAACACCGTGACACGAGAATTTTATATATTAGAAGAAAATAAAATTTTCGACTGCTGATTAACAAAGACAAACATGTGAATTAATTTAATAAATAATTATGATATCGGCTCTATTCAAAATTGTAATTCAATTTTCACGCGATTAATAGGTAAAATGAGCTTCATAAAGACGTTTTTTTTAAAGTTTACAAAAATAACAAATCACTATTTGGTTCAATTTAATTAGGCGGTTTTATATATTTTCGGATATTCACGAGGCTCAATTTACAAGAATAATAATGTCCAATTTATAAACGTTAAATCGTTGACTTGGATATCGTCCAACAAAGATTTTCGTTGAATTTGCAAAGCTAAAGTAGTCATCGTTTAAAAAAAGAGTTTTTTGTATTTAATTGCTCCTTTTGTCTTCGGTTCTCGCTACGACATGAAGATTATATAAACATTTATGTCTAATGAAAGTAGAATTACAGATTAACCATTTGAGTGTACTACATGACTAATCATGTATTGTTATTTAAAGAATTAAATACAATACATGATTTGTATGAAAAAAATGAGATTATTATTATTAGATTCTCATATTAAATATATGAGAAGAATCTCATATTAAATACATTTTTTTATTTCAAAAATTATGTAAATTTATTAACAGACAAAAGCAGCTCATACTGATAATTTTCACCTTAACGTTAAATTATAAAAGGCTAGTATAGATTACAAGCGGAAGTTACGATTACGAAATATTTTACTCACGATTTATACCGCCTAAATAAAACTTAATGGCGTAACGTTTAAAAAACGATGAAAAGTAAAAAAAAATATAATCATGTTAAGGACTTTCTAACGTAAGTATGAGAAACTATTTAATATGGTCCGTAAATTAATTTCGCCGAGACGTAAAACCGACATATCAGGGTGCTGTAGTCCCAATGCAGTGTTGCCTTTGTCTATATATCAAGTAGACTAGTATGCAGTTTTGTTTTATCTTATTTAAAATAAAAACTAAATCAGTTATGATGTACAGATCTATTATATAGTTTAGTGTCTTTTATAAAGTCACTATTCACTAGAGAGTCTATTTAATATTCATATATACTATACACCATTCATTGGAGAGAATTTCAAAGATTTATGAACGGTTGATGAACCAAAAACAGAATTAATTTCGAATTTCAAACATTTATTTGCCATCTAAGTGTACATTTTTATAAATAGGTGTTACAATAAAGAAGTGTACAGAAACTTAATATTTAACTCAATGTAAACGTAATGTTGGTCAAAGTAATTGCTGATTATATTCTGAAAAGATACTTACGCAACGCGAAAGTCTTCCAAACATGTTCACCGAAGGTATCATTAACTTAATCGACACAATAAATGCGATCATTAATAAAAGCTCGGAGTATCGTAACAAGTTAAAAACGCTTGAAACCGTTTTACCGATTTCCACACATTCTCTTGTCTGCGAACAAACAAAGAGATTTGTTTGGCGAAAAGGCAACAGTTGTTGCACCGTCAATTCTCCCTTTGACACGTGGGAAGCGTTTGACAGCTCCGAGCATCTGTATTTATTTAGCGGGGCTCTTTAACCTGAGCTATAAACGTTACAGAGATTTAGTATTGTTTGTCGAGATCAATTTATTTAGTCTATTTGCCTGATAGATATATTTTGAAGCGAAAATATATCAAAAGAGAGGGGTGTCGATAAAGGTTACGTTAAATTACCTTAATCTAAATTCTAAATGTTAATTTTAAGTGCTGACACTTGGCTCCAATTTTCGAAATAAAAAGATTTGTCATTTTTTTCTTAAAAAAAAATAGAGCTTTAGCTTTCTTTTTTGTATAACTGATGTTACGCTTTCAATCCTTAGACTATTAAGGCTTCATGTAACGCAGAACCGGTGAGCTAGCCAGAACCCACGGGTTTGAGGCCCTCCCGGGTGGCCGCATGTTCATGCGTGCGTTGTGGCTGTCGCCTAAGGGCCATCGAGGTTTTAGACCGGTGTGCTTGTTCAGTCGGTGGCTGAGGGTGAGAACCGTCCTGGAACGCGGGTGTACCTTATGTATTTTTTTTATTTATTTAATCCAGTAATAAAGTACTATTACTACAAGTACTATTTCATTTTACTAGGTTGCCTGGAAGAAATCGCTTCTTAGCGATAAGGCCGCCTATTGTACATTTGTTGCCTATTTTGTATTATTTTTGTTGATTATTCAATATCCGTTGGTTGTGTACAATAAAGTATATTTCATTTCATTCATTCATTCAATAACATAAATTATTCTCTGCCAAACTGTGATGCAGTTTCTCGGCAGCAGTTCTCGTGAATAGTTACATCGATGTACTTCTACCTTGCTAATACGACACCTATGTATAATAGCTATGTATATATAAATGTCTATGTATAATATGTATATATCTTCTAAATACAATTTCTTAATTATTAGTACCTTTAGAAATATTAGAAATAGCTTGGGAGCGATCAACTCATTCCCAGTATTGTCATTAATGCTTTCTTTTATATTAGGTTTATTACATAACATGTAATTTTAGATAGATTTAATCTTGTACAAAATACATATAATTAAAAATTTCCGCTACCCGGACCGAACAAAAAAAAGAAATTATTTTATAATTACACTTTTTATAGTTTTTCTTTAATAAATTTCTTAAGCCTGTTAGAAATGTTAACCTGTACGCTAGAAATGTATTTAATATACGTATGTAAATTATAATTGATACAACATACATTTGTATTTTTTTTATGTGAGAAAGTGGCAAACGAGCTGGCGGTTCCCCTGATGTTAAGTGATAATCGCCGCCCAAGGACATTTGAAACACCCTTAGTTACACACGCGTTGACACCTTTAAATAATGGCCCGGCTGGCACCAGATGAAACGCAGAAGTGTAACACTTCTAGTTTACGCCGGTCATCTGTGAGGTCGTGGTACTTACCCGGACGGACCTTCCCATTCCTACAACAGTGTTGCGTGATCCTACCACCGTGAAAACGTGTTATATATAACATACAAATGTATGTTATTCATTACGTATTAATTTTGAACTAATGAGATTTAAATTCATTAGTGAAACAGTGCAAGTTTTCATGTGCTTCAATAACTGTCGAACACGATGTTGCAAAATAACCATCCGTTGCGGCCGTGGCGCGGTTTCTTTTAATTGAGCAATGAATTTTAACCGAGAATTATGTAAGGGAATTCAAGAGGCCATTTGTCAATGTTTAATCGGCTATCTGGAAGCCATCCAAGTGTTGTTTCGCGATGAAATTAAAAATACACGAGGGCGTATTATATGAGAATATAAAAATTCTTATGAATGGTGGAGACCATTTATAAAAGCTAATAAAATATTAAAGTATTATTACTAGAGTTAGAACATGGATCACCCGTTTATTATTTTCCGAGTATAACTTGCACCTTTATTTAATTCTTATTAAAGTGAATGTAGTCTACGGTACAGAAAACATTGCAAAAATATCTATTCTTTAGGTAACAAAAAATGTTCCCTTTTTCTTAACGCATACACGCTTGTGGCTGGATTCTTTTTTTTAGTCTTGCACGTTTCATTTAATGTTCTTTTTAATTAAAATAAATGATCATTAAATTAGTGTGCATTTTTAAAGAGTTTTCCTGATTTATTTTTTTGTTTTATGTAAATAACAACATTTACTATAATAGATGTATCATCTTATGTTAAACGCTAGGCTACTTTCATACCCAATACATATCATCCACATAAGGAAGTTATGAAGAAGTCGACGTGACCTTTAACTTATTTGAGTCTGGCCAAAGAGTATCCATTGAGTTTTTGGTAGATTTTTAATAAAAAAGGTTTGAAATATTTCGACAGTTAAGGGGTATACAGAGCTATTCACCTTTCACCGTACGTAATCCTTACTAATATTATAAAGGCGTAAGTTTGTATGTATGGATGGATGTCTGTTACTCTTTCACGCAAATACTACTGAATGGATTTTAATGAAACTTTACAATAATATAGCTCATACATCAGAATAAGACATAGGCTATACTTTATATACATATTTAATGTATACCTTTTGTCTTTTTGTTTGAATTACCTAAATGAGTTACGCCTTCAACCTATTCTACGCAGACGTAGTCGCGGGCAGCAGCTAGTAATTATAAATCTGTTATAAAGAAATTTTATTAATGCACGAAGCTGGGAGGGAATCCATTAGCATAAAATCGCAACTCTCATGCTTAGGCAGCTTGTGAGGTCTCTTCTCCATCTAATTTGATTAAGCTTAAACAAACTTTGGTCTTTAGGCGAAATACGTGATCACTATTTTCGCAAAAACTACAATCACTGCGGGAACTTGATGTAACTAGCAGTCGTCAATTAACCAGTCTTTGTCGGAAGCAGTTCTAGAATTTCCCCGATTGCGAAAACCGCAGTGGCGAAACTCTCACATTAATTAACGCGGTTTCACGAAACTGCTGTACCTAGTGGATTTATCGCTCAGTAAATCCGGGGCGTCGAAACGGAATCGATCCGTTGCAGCGCTCCGGTTAATTTCGTTGTCGTTGCGGCGTCCTCTGTGGCGATATATCACGGGCGGCGCGGTCCGCAGCGTCGGCAGAATAGGCCCCCGAGACGTAGCCACGGACCGTTCCATTGTCAGCGACGATATCTGATATCTTCCTCTGGCTGGTTGGCCTTCCCCTTCGGCCGTTGTCCACAGATAATATATCGTTTCGGGTATCGGTAGTATTCCTCTGTTCGTTTTATATTGTATATGTATAGAATGGAACTAATAGTCTCCATGCTGAAGTTTGAGTTCTGGTCAGTTTGTTCGCTCAACACGCCGCAACTGTTGAGTGTATTTGAATGACACGTGGTTTTTATCTTGTAAAAATCGTGTGTTTATTCGAGACACCACTAACTTTTGCCTGGGTAAGAGCTATCTAAGTTTTTTTAAAGCGTTTGAAGTCTCAAAGAATAGATAGAAAATGATGCTGCTTGCACAATGCATCGTAGTTTCGGTAAATCGGGATGATGAAATTATGTAGACATTTGCAATTGACAATTCTAGGGCAAGATAATTCAGATATAGACTTTTATCAAACTTCAGAGGCCATCCATTCATCTATGTACATAGAAATACGTTTTGTTACAACATATGTTAGTGAAAACTATTTTCAATTAGTGTTTGAATTTTGGTGTGTATTGAAACGTGGCTTCTGGTTAAGTTTCAGTTGAAACTGTAGAACAGTTTAGACCGAATTACAATTAAACGTTAGTTTTAGAACGACGTATCGAATTTCGCCAGTTAATGGTGTTCCGCATTCTCGGGACGTCTGTAATGTTCGCCAAATTACTAGAACATGACACTCGTTTGACATGTAACATTCAATAGAATGTCAAATGTAGGTTAACGTAATGTCACGTAATGCGCATTTTTTCATAAAGAAAAGGAAGTAAACGACAAATCGGCTCGACCATGAGGTAATTATTATTATGCAATTTTGAAAGAAAAATTCTAAAAAGACGCTACTCTGCAGTATAACTATTGTTTAATCATTTTCCGGGGAAGTACCACGGTTCACAGAAGACCGGCGGGAAGTGGAAGTATTAAACTTTCGCGATTCATTTGGCAAGTGAGATAACCAGAGGTAAAGCAGTCCAGTGTTCTACCGGCTGCTCGTTTGACAAATTTTCACATAAATAATAATAACTCCACTATTATTTAGTAATTATTTAATTAATATTTCAATGATTATTTCTTTACAAGCAAAGATAACGCCAACGTTGCACAACGAAATAATTTCTATGTAGTAGAGTTTTCCATTAACATAGTGTACACAAATTTGAATCTTGCGAGGGATCAAACCCACAGCACAGTCTGCAATAGCATGTAGAAAGGTCTCCCGATAAACCATTGCAGCATATGATTGAAAAGGAATGGTTCAACTTGTTATAAAACAATATGGACTGGTGACCCTGCAGTAAATACCGGGTGAATGTGATGAAATTATCGTAGTTATATAGGTCCCTATCTATCCAAAATGTGAATCATGTAGTGTTCGATCGGCCGCCTTCGTGGCTGCAATCCTCCATACCATACCCAGATCCAAAAAAATTGTCTATGAGTCACGGAAATAGTTCCGTTTGGAGCTAATAGCTAAGCAACTGCGCCTATGAGTCATATCAATGTCTAGAGCTCTTATAAAAACAGAAAGAAATCGAACGATTACAGTACATGCATGCATATTAACATAAAAACGAATCTAATAAAAGCGTGTTGAAAATAGCTGTTGTTTGTAAAACAAAAGCAATTTCAAACGTGGCCTTTGTTATGTAAGGTGCCGAAAGAAACACCTCAGAGATCAATAAGTAACTATGTAATGTTTTTATGTTCTTATCTATTGCGATGTTAACAGCATGCATCATCGACAGCTACTTTGTCATAAGGGGCTCATGTCAGCAGAAGAACTTGATATATTGAATCATTGCTTCTATCATTTGAATATAAATGGACGTATTTAAAAACTACAATACATATGAGCCAAATTCTGGATAGTACTTTCAGATCTTTATTGTTTACGGTATATAGTATCCACGTGTAAGTTACAAATCAGAAAGAAACGTTTATTGCCTTGCTTTGGGGGAAAATGGTATCCAATATACAATAAAAATAAAATAAACAGCCAATATTTAAAATATTGCTTTTTTTGTTCGTTGATTCTAAATGTATTCAGATTTCCTGCCGAAATTTTCGTTTACTGATGAACACGTGATAAAGTTGCAATTACCTATATCATTGGAGACGTCAAATCGCCAGGATTTGAAATCAGATCGTTCGAGTATATTAAATTCAAAGTCAGCGCCCGGACTCAGAGATATCACAGGGGGACCAAGCATTCAATCACGGTCTAATCACAGTGGATACATACAAAACTTATAAGATAATGTAACTACACATTACATGAAATAATATTGGAAAAATTTAAAATAAATGTAAACATAAGAACACAAACAAAAAAAAATTGCATGTTAAAGGATTTAAATATAGTAAATCAAGTAAGGTCCAATCAAGTTCTGGAAAAATTAAAATTAACCATCTCTATTCAAATTGAGCTATCAGCTATAAAAAATGTTCTAAGGCAAGTTGCCTCAGAACGGAACAGAACTGAATTTATTTATTTTAGTTATTTATTAAAACAGCCTTACACGGTAAGAGATATTTGCGTGGTATTCTCAACAATAGAAACAGATGATCTTGTTTGAAACAGCATAATATAGAATGTTTCTATACACACATAATATAAATTTTTCTTACACTTTCCAATTCATAGTTCTCAAATGAGCGTCTAAATTTTAGGTAGTCAACAAAAAGGTGATCTTAAAAAGCCTTAATGGGGTAGTCACAACATGATTTATAAATTCTCCAAATTATATCAATGTGATTTTTCTTGAAAAATAATTTCCGATACTAAAACATATTTGACAGAAGGATGTACCCTACATCTTTCTGTCAAATATATATTTTTATAGAATAAAAACTAGCAATTGTACCCGTTACTGTAATAGTTTTTTGGAAACTTCAGAACCATACTCCCCGCCGCCGTTCAAATTTAAACTTGGTCAAGTTCATATATAAATTGGTATTCTATAAAAATCTCCCACATATTTATAAACTATCCTCCATTCATTATCGAGTTATATCAGCGCCGCTTCTATCTTTATAAGCGTTCATCTAAACAAGACAGCTTTCGTTTTCATTCAGCGCTAGGTCGGATCACAGCACGCGGTTAATCGACGCGAGCCGACTGTAGTCTGTGGTGTGAAAAATTTTCCCGCCATCCTAAAAACGTTCCGTGTTTGTTTTTAAAAGGAAGTGCATTTGCGCGCCAAGTGAGATATTTTTTTTTTTTTTAATTTTCGCCAAATGTCCGTCCCGCATTCGGTGGCGTTATCTTTCGTATCCCTTTTGTGATCGCCAGTTCGTTTAGTGATTTATTTAATCTGCGAACTTTCCTTCAAGTGTACAACGCATGGTTTGAATATTCCTCAAACATTTGCATGTTTGTTCTTTTATGTTGTTTACTAGCACATTGACAGCGTTTATAGCTTTTCGTGTCTCGCAGTAGTCAGCAATCTTTCATGGTCATCTTGAAATATGCGATAACGTCAGTTGACGGATTGTGTACCTTATTATTAGGTAGTAGTAAGCTATAGCTTACATATGACTCAGATGCATTTAGGAGTGCCTCAAGAGACTATTCATCAAGGTGTAATATTATTTAATCGATAATATTTTAACGAACTTATGATGAACAGTTTGCTGCTGCAAAGTTTTTATTTATTAATACTTCGTGTATCATCATAAAGATTTAGCTACGATAAAATTTACTAATAGTTTCATTTTTTATACACTAATTCATTCTCTAATACGCTACGCTTGAAAAAGGGAAAAGCTAGTTTAATTGCATAATCATATTTTATTACAGATAAAAGCATTTTTCATTTCGTTTTTGTCTAAATATAGTTTAAATATATTGAATTATTTGCTTAACATGTAACATATGATAAATACTAATAAATTAAACATGAGTCAATGCAATGTGTCCACACCATAACGTATTTTGTAGCTTCTTATACTAATTTACGAGTTCTTTTCTTTCCTTGATAACTGCTTTACATTTTAATAAAACTGGTTTAAGGATTTGGTCGCAATTTATTTATATTTAAAACAATGCATTCATAGGGCATATGACGAACTGATATCACTATTACGAGGCCCTCCCCGCCAGCGCTTTATTAATATTATTAAAATTGAAATAAATTGCGATAAAATTAGTAAACGAGTTTTAACAAAATGTTGTATTATAACGTCATGTCACGTCTTAAATAATTATGTTGACTCAGTCACGAAAGTGACACAATCGCTACCTTTGTTGGGATTTTGCTTATAACGAATACCTAAATAGTTGATTTTTCTTGCATGAATAAATCCCTACAAAGCAAGAGTTATAAAACAAGTTTCGAGAAACTATGAAATTTTAAATTGAAACTTCGACATTTGGAATCCGAAACTTGAAATTCGGAAAACAGGTATTTGGACTCGGAAGTGAAAACTTTGCTGTACGTGATTGGGAAATTTTTGAAATTTTTAAATTCGAAATTTGAAATAAGAATTTTGCACGTTTCAACAACACGAAGCTTTGTAAATTCCGATTCAGTCTGTATTCGGCACGTTAAAACGCACGCACACATGCACCTCCGTCCACCAGGATTAGACGCGTCCATGTACCAGGCAGCCAGTAGACGATGCCGAACTGTGGTCTGACTGTCTGACTACTAGATGCAGGGAGTCAGGCGCTGCACAGATTAGACGACTTCATGTAGCAGGTCGAACTGAGGTCTGACTGTCTGACTACTTGGTTCAGGGAGTCATACGCTGCACGGATAAGACGCCTCCATGTACCAGTCAGTAAGAAGACGATAGTGATCTGAGGTTTTACTGTCTGACTACTAGATGCAGGGAGTCAGGCGCTGCACGGATTAGACGCTTCCATGTACCAGAGAGCCAGTAGACGATGCCGAACTGTGGTCTGACTGTCTGACTACTAGATGCAGTTAGTCAGACGCTGCACGGATTAGACGCCTCCATGTACCAGGTAGTTGGGAGACGATGGTGATATGTGGTCTGGCTACTTGGTGCAGGGAGTCAAGCGCTGCACGGATTAGACGCCTCCACGTACCAGGCAATCAGGAGACGATGGCGTTCCAAGGTCTGACCGTGTGCCCACTTGCAGGGAGTCGGGGGTGTCGTGGGGGCGACGCGGGTGGGGTGCGCGGGGCGGCGGTGCGGGGCGCGCGGGCGGTCCCGCCGCGGCCTCGGGCGCGAGGCGGCGCGACAGGGGCGGCCAGCCGCGGAGGCCCATGGAGATCCTAACCAGCATCTACGCGCTGCTCTCCGGCGGGGTGAGACGCAACCCACCACACCAGCAAGATGTAACCACATGGCCGATATACGTACGCTTAGTTGCCAACGCGACGCATGCAGTAGCGCCAGACCGTCATCCGATAGTAGCTCACACGACATCCTCCATTCATCACCAAGTTCAAAGTAATCAATCTCTTTAGATATTAGTTGAGACATTGTCCATGCACAACCTTCACAAACTTATTCGTAGTTAGATAAATATACACCACAAGGATATCACAAAATAAAACGATCATTAGACCATTAGTTTAGAACAAGTAAAACTCCCAAATGAATCATGTAAAGAGTTGGAAAGGAGTAAATAATAAACCAGTTGATAAAATACACTGTAGACGAAACACTCCTATTCCATTACGATATCTTCAAAACGTGTAGATGCCACCTGAGAATATATTCCTCCTCGTAGGTAGATCACATATACACAAATACCTGCACTAACAATCCACAACAAATCCCAAATCTCTCCCTTTAGTTGCTGCCTGTACAGTATGACCACAGCTCTGCTATGTTCCCGTAGTAGAAGTTTGAGTAGTTAGCTTAGATTTAATTTATGGCCCTGTCTGTAAGACCTTAACCAAAAGTCAATAAGTGCTTTGGTCGAATTTTTCAATTCAAAATGTTGGAAAGCGAGCAGACAGAGTTCGTTTAAGTGATGACCGCCGCGCATGGGCATCTACAATACAAGACCACATGACAATCTATTTAAAATTAGCCCAAGTTAGGTAACCGGGGCTAATTTTAAATAGAGTGAGGTCAGCAACCAGAAGCAAAAGTATCATATTTTCATGTCATTGTCTTCTGTAAGGCCGTGGTACTTCCGTGGATGCACCTACCCAATGGGTCTAAAAGGTCGTGTCATCATTATATTTGTATTCAAGTACTGGCCGGTTTTTGAGTAAACATAAATTCCTCAATCCGGCTTACCGGTGCATTCGAAAATTATACATATAATTTCTCACAAAAAAACCGACTTCTATCAGAAAATTAAAAACATTGTACAACATAACTACAACATCCAATGATGGCCCTCGATTTCTCTGGGATGCCATCATCAGATCCGAGTTTCCTTATCATGGTAGCATGGTACCTTTCCTTTCCGACAAAAAAAAATCATCAAAATCGGTTAATAAGCGACGAAGTTATCTACGAGCACACATAAAAAAAATAAAAATATATACGGTCGAATTGAGAAACCTCCTCCTTTTTTGAAGTCGGTTAAAAACTTCATACATTCATATTATATTGGAAATATTCTTCAATTTGCCTTACCAAACAAGCTATACATAAAAGTTCTTATGTTCATAAATTATATTCTGATTACGTTTTACAAAAAAAATCCTTTAATCCCCAGATAATTAAGAAGTTTACTTACATTTAAATCAAGTTGACTATTGTATCCATTGAGAACAATATTACTGAAACGTTTCATTTAAATTTGAAATTTCGTTATTATTAATTCGAGGAAATAGTATTAATTCCAAGAGTAGTTTTCTTCTAAATGTTCTTAAAGGCTTGAGTTAGTTTTGCCTTTGTTAAAAGTCAATAGCATTTTGCAGTTCAAACTTACACCAAGTTTCCGAAAGAGCAATCAATTTTAATTTACGATAAATCTCTTGTCAATCGTTGTTTAACATGATCTGAGTTGCTAGAACGTCTTAAACAACATTGATTTTGATTTGCAATTAGTCACTGATTAACGGACAATCAACAGAATATTCTTTATTTTTATAATACTTACTTGTTTATTATGGATAAAAGTTCATTTTTTTCACGTTCTGTAAAGTATTTTTTTTGACATTTTGCATGTACTTAAATTTTATTATAGCTCGGATTTTTACGTTGGCAATCACACGGTGACAGGACTGGATAGTAACGTTAATTTAAGTTTTGTTTAAAAAGGGACAGCTATACAATAGAAAGAGTTAGTTGAAGTAAATCATTCATTTCATTCATTATCATTGGTTATACAGTGATTAGCTAATTTTTCTTGAACATACCTTCCAGAAACCCAAGGCAGTTTAACAAGAGATTAACAGCTGATCATTTTTAACATATTGTTATGTGATTGCTGCTTTGATTGGCCTTTCGGAAACTGGGCATAAGTCTCTGTACTAAGATATTTATGTAATTTTTATTCTTGAGTCAATGTTTTCTATGCACAAATGCAGGAGATCACTAAGATAGGAATTTCACAAATAGTTTTTTGATTTTTCGAACTTACTACGCAGATCTCTGGCCAATGTCCAAGAATCCAGGTTATATAGGTTTAAAAACTCCGAAAACGTTAATGCACTATAGTTGAAAGATTTTTTTGATACAAGGCCTATTCCATTACTGGGTATTCATATTGGCTTTTTGTTCAGTTTTCAAATACTAAAGCACGAGTTTTTATTCACCTTTTGGCAAACAACCAAAATACGATCATATTACGTTTATCTATTTTCACTCGGGGCTTCCCTTAGTTTAACCCGTGGGGTCACAAACCCGCGGAAGTTTTAAAGAAATAATACAATTTAATGCAGGTTGGGTAATAAAATCTGAAAAAATTTGCTCATTTATCTAACTAGCTGATTTGAATTTAATAGCAAGTATGGTTACTGAAAAAATTTGCTCATTTATCTAACTAGCTGATTTGAATTTAATAGCAAGTATTGTTACTGAAATAATTTATTTCACCACCACTACCTAGTTCATTTGGTACCCAAGCGCCACCAGTTTAATGCTCTCCAACGGTCACATTTTGTACTCAGAGATTGTTTTCCTTAAGAGTACGTGTATAAGTTAATATTTTATTAGGTTCTAGAATTATATATCGGCGCCATCTCTCCGCGACATTAAGCCAACTACAAAAACACTAATGTAATTAAAACAAAACTATTTCTCTGTTAGTACTTTTTTAACGAACTATATGTCTGTTAGGATGTTTGATTTGTGTAATTTTATAGCAAGGAGTCAACCCGAAAATTGACTCTGTGGCATTCCGTCTCCACTGCGGAGCAACGACAGCCGCGTTGTTAGCGGCCAGTGCGGCCTTGACCACGCGCCATCTTGTGGGCAACCCCATAGACTGCATACACACTAGGTCCGTACTAACTTCAGTTTACGTCTCGCTGTGGAGTTTTTTTATTGGTTTGATAGATGGCGTTTTTTTAAATCACAATTTTTTCCTAGATATTTCCTGAGCGATTTTTATCGAAAATACATGTAAAATACAGTCGTAAGGGATTATGAAATAAGACAGGATGTATGAACACAGAATAAGGTGGAGGACAAAAACTAAATAATATTATAGTTGCTGAAGCCAACAAAGGTATTTTTGACGCTTAATGAAAGGTTGTCCTACTTACTGTTTGAATAAATTTTTTTATGTGAAAAAGTGGCAAACGAGCTGTTCACCTGATGTTAAGTAATAACCGCCGCCCATGGACATTTGCAGCACCCGTAGGGATGCAAATGCGTTGCCACCTTTAAATAAAGTGGGCCCCGGCTACCTCACTCACCAGACGAAACGCAGAAGTGTAACACTTCTACTTTACGCCGGTCTTCTATCAGGTCGTGGTAATTACCCGGACGGACCTGCCCATTCGTGCAACAGTGAAAACATTTACGTGGCCATACTTGTTTCAGAACATTACTTTATTGTCAATGTGTCACGGTCACTCACAAATTGAATCAATTCGTGAGTTCTTTGCCAGGAACTTTACATAATCTTATTATGTCATTCACCTTATTATCTATATAAAATTGTTGACATAATTATTTTCATGGCATTCTCACATGCCTGAACATAATAATTTATTTATCATTACTGCAATGTTCTTTATCATTCCATTGCGGTACTAACCAAGTTTGTAAGCTGTTAGTAGAATGTGACTATATTAATTGTAAGGTGTTCTTCGGTGTAATTAGATCACCAAGGAGTATTGGTTTTAAAATTAACCTTGGCATAGGGACATCCCGGAGGATGTTCTGAACACGTACTGCTGGATCCACTCGACCTTCACGGTGGCCGGCGAGGCCATGGGAGGCGCTTACCCCGGGGTCAGGAGTGCCGGGACATCCCCGCGTCGCTACGGGAAATACTACCAGTGGGTGGCGTTCACGCTTTTCTTTCAGGTAAGTAAAGCATAGGCAATAAAACATCCTAAACGAAGAATATTAATTTAGAACACAGGTACATGAGACCAGATCTAGAAGCAAGAAGAGCGTCGAGCTAGATTTGTAGCAGAACAGGTACGTTTTTGGCTTGATCGTATTAGATAATAAAGCGTCTGAAGTTAAGTGTCTAATGTTAGATGACACATAGATTACAAAAAATTACCATTGATTCGATCCTCTATTTAGTTATAATATATAATCGCGTACTGCATCTTACTCATTCCAAGTGTGCATCTTAAATTTTCTTCTCGGGTGATTGACTTCAAAAATTGTACTAAAGATTTATATTATTGAAAAATTTTATTCCTTGTAGGAAATCGGTGCGACGATAATTTAGCTGTTGATATAAACAATTTTAATATCATAAGTATGCCGCATATTTTGATAGGTGGTATTGCAGCTTTAACATACGAAATAATGATAGGTGCGGTAGATAGCTTTAAGAGACGAAATAAATATTTGTTTAGGCTATTAAAAATGAACAGGAAAAGGCTGTGTGTGCCAATCGCTTTAGACCTGCGTTGATTGCTATCATACTTTGTATCTTAAAAGAAAACGTCGCGAGCCCTTATTCCTAAAGGCCTCCTCTTTAGGAATAAAGGGCTCGTGATAAAAAAAACTTGTTCCGCTCCAATGTTATATTGTTAAAATTGTGACATTCACCCTTATAACAGTTTACTTTGCCGTCCTAAGGAGAGAAGCATATTTCGAGTATGTATTATGCTTATGATTTAACCTAAAACTGAAAATGATTCGCTCAGCAATAAACCCAACTAAAAATAAGATCAAGTTCAGTAAGCTCTGAATATCTCAACATTTTTTACTCTAGTTCGCAGTTCTAAAGTTTGGCTAACTGTTATTTGTTATATAGCAGAACGGGTGAACTAAAATAAAGAGTAATACGATGATTAAAACTCAAGGCAGCTCGAAAGTTTTCCAACGGACAACGCCACGAAGAACATTTTATATCACTTACTAACCAATAGAGTTCCCACTCTCCGTTGGGGATACTAGTCTCGGGCTTAAGTTTAACTGGAAAGATATATGCGAAGGACAGTTAAGACAATTTGAGGTCGAACGAGGGGTATATAGTGCGAATTTTAAGTAATGCCGTCCGTTAATCATGAGATTCTGGCGTATATTTCTGCGTTTGTCAGCTTTATGAGCGCGAACGGTGCGGATAGCTTAGGCCGCCATTTTCCCGCCTAGATTACATTACAAAATGGCGGCCTGTATGATGCCTGTATGTAAAGAATTTGAATGTTTTGTTTTGAATAGAATTAGTGTTGAATATCGGTTGCGATCATAGAGCACTTACTTTTATGTAACATGAAAATGTATAAAGCTAGTTTTAATATATTTTTTTGTTTATTTGTATCTTTTCACGTTAACATATTTAATGTGTCAATACATAAATAAATAGATTAGTAAATAGTTTTCGGCTCGAGTAGGCGAATGGAGTAGACATTATGGTTGTTTTACGATTCAATATTCGTTTTAAAAAGTCCAACACTGGCCTAGTTTTATCTCCAGAAGTCGGTTAAAGTTTAAAACTCGAGTCAAGGGAACTTACGCTAACTGCGAGATGCGCTTACTGCAAATACAGGTTTGTTTGAATTTAGTTTGCAGATGCATTTGTCTCAACATTAGTCCTCAATATAATATTAACATAAAACAAACATACGTATAATATACAACTAAATTAAACAAAAAAAAATCTAAATAAAACTAATTGAAGCAAATAACAGTTGCCCCATTACAGGAATAAAAAGATATACGAACAACAAATTAAAAAAGATATGTGTGTGTGTCGTAATATCATTGTCCGGGCATTGGCTTTTAATTCAATATACTCGAGTAACCTGAGTACGATCCCGGTACCAGTAACAATGAAATTGTTAATTTTAAGTGCTGAATTATCACGTGCTCAGCGGTGAAGAATAACATCGAAAAAAGTGTGGGGGGGGGGGGTTCGATTTTTTAAGGGTAAACACGGTTTATCTCGATTTTCGGCAAAACTTTATAATGATTACGTTCAACAAGTTTGCATTTTCTGAAAACATTTACCATAGTAACGTATATTTTTCTACACCATATGAAAATTGAGATTTCAACGAACAAAAATTCCATTGACTTTATTAAAAAAGCCCATTAATAAAAGAGAACAAGATGGCCCCGAACGAAACTGTGTCGTATACGTGAGACGCTCGTGTTGTGACCTCACCTACTACAACCTTGTTAACGCCGTCACGAAGCGACTGCTTACCCCACTTCGCTTCCCGGTACCAGGACGACAGATAGCTGCGCAGTCACGTAGTCCCACGTCAGCACCTTCGGGCCCCCTTGTGCCGTGCAACAGTTTAGTAGATGCACACTCATCGATTTGCGGCGTGCTCCAATGCCGTACGTGTGGTTTTTACTCTGTGACACTGCTAGTTTTCAAATGGCTTCAAAAAGGGGGGTTCTCGATTCGATTGTACTTTTTTATGTTGGTTACCTCAGAACTTTCGACCAAGTGAGCCGATTTTGATGATTCTTTTTTTATTTGGAAGCTATTGCTTCCCATGTGGTCCGATATTGATTTCACTCGTATTGGATCTTGGGCTCCGCAGATACTTAGGGACTCCTGAAAATCAATTATAAAGTGAACAATAATTCTTAACAATAATCCTTCTGCGTGGATCGGAATAAAAATAAACAAAATAATTGACGGTAGCCGGGGTCAACTGTGACATCAAGACGTCTAACAACTTAGTCTGTCCCGTGACCATGAACGCTGGAAAGGGTTCGAAACGTCGGGAATTTAAATTAAAATAAAAAAACGCGATAAAATCCGTAAAGTAGTTTCATTTAATATAAATAATTTTTAAGAAAAAAAAAACGACTTCAATCAGAAAACTATAACGTTCGATGATGGCGCTCGATTTCTCTGTGATGCCATCGTCAGATCCGGGTTTCCTTATCATGGTACCACCCTTGGAATATAACCTTTCCGACAAAAAAAAGAATCATCAAAATCGGTTCATAAATGACGAAATTATCCCCGAACACACATAAAAAAAAATACGGTCGAATTGAGAAACCTCCTCCTTTTTTGATGTTGGTTAATAAAAAGCGAGATATTTGAAGTCGGTTTTGTTTTTAAACGGTCTTATTTAGTTCGACCCGTACGGAATTTGTTTGTTTGGGTCAAAATTAGAAATTAAAATTTAAGCACCTTGCCGTTGTCAGATTGATCTGAAATTTGGTACACACATTTAATTTAGATGACAATACAATATTAACAAAAAAAAAATTAACAAAAAAAAAACGTAAAATAAAACCGTTTAACTTAAAAGTTTTTAAACGGTTTTATTCGTTAGTCAAAACTAGACATGTGTTCACGGCAGCCTTACTCCGATATTACGTTACGTGGAAACCGCGCTTTATTCCCAATTAGAGTCTTATTAATGGATGCGTAAAACTGAAATTTGCAAGTGAACAATTTTGATGTATGTTAAGTCCTAACGGATTTAGGAACATCCGGACCCGTGTGTAAATTTACTTCGTCTAAAATAGTACATTATCCCGTAGAAACGCATACGAATTATTTTAATCGAAATATTTGTAAATCGATCACTAGATGGAGTGGCGACCTGTGCAAATGTGCGGGAAGTCGATGTACGCAGGTGGCTCAGGATCATACTTCATGGCAGTGTGTGGGGGAGGCCTATGTTCAGCAGTGGACTCAAACAGGCTGAAATGATGATGATGATAATGATTTGTAAATCATGTTAGAAGAAAAGCGAAAGAGCGATGTATTTCACAGCTACGTATAAAATGTCTATTTTCTATATATATGCATTAAATGTTCATGAAGCGGTTAAAATTCTATTACATATATTTGCAATTTTACTACTGTAAGCAAGCGTTTATTGAATATCTCGGATATACTCCACCACAAGTACTCGTATGTACTTACAGTACAAATTACCTACCGAAAATGATTGACAAATGATTAATGAATGAATTGATAATTAATGAATAAATCTTTTACCTTTTAAATTTACTTGTTAATAACGATGAGATTTTAAATTAGAATCGTATGCCTTGTCGATTGTTTTCAGGGCACAATTAAAGTTCGTCTGAAAACTAAAAGTTCTTCGTCGTTCGAAGACGCTAGACAAGTTAAAAATTGACGTAAAACAACATTATCTATCGCTTTGTAATCCATAGTTTTTAATGGCAATATTCAGATTTAATTCTTCTCTCGTGTATTTATTTATATATATTATATATTTATTTATGTTTATGTAAGTTTATTATAATTTTGTTTATCTTATTATATTTAAGTCTATTTTGGTATTAAGTAAGTTTATTGAGCACACCACCTCCCACTATTCATTAGTTTATTTTTCCTCGTCCTAAGGTTGTTTGGAAGAGATCGCTTTTTAGCGATAAGACCGCCTTATTGTACCTAGCCTTTAAGACTTATTTCATACTAATTGTATCAAATTCTTTGTGGTGTACAATAAAGTATATAATAATAATAAAAAATACCATTACTTTCGTTATTATGACGTACGTCGTACGTTAATATGTACGTTCATTTGAAGATATATAGCTCAACATATTTTTTATGGCACATTCAAAGAAAATTCAGTGTTTAATATTTTTTATTTATTTAATAAATAAATAAAATGTAATGTAAATGAATAAATAAAATGTTTTTGCTCTTCTTAAAAAAGTGTAGCACTTAGTTGTCACTCATCATTTTCTATCCCTGTCTCCACGTCCCTCTCTCACACTCGCACGCGCACACGCACTAGCATATGCACACGCACACACACACGCGCTCACACACACGCACACACACAAGCGCGCGCGCGTACGTACCTTTGTTTGTTTTATTATGATTGTTATAACCTTGTTGTTTTCGTGTTTTGTTTTTATTATATTCATAGTTTTAAGATTGTTAC